GCTGCCTGAGTAGAGAACCTGGTTGTAAAGTACGTCATGTAGATGCTTATGTACCCAAGTAACCTGCCTGCCAGGTTAAATCACGACAGGTATCAACACTGTTTTCAGCACAAATCCAAAACAGAGCCCCATGCCAGCTACTATGGAGAAAATTAACTCTACCTCAGCCCAAACCAGCACACTTATAAGATTTGATGGCAACAGTTTTTAGCCCTATTCAGCATATTCTTCACATATCACCAGAAAAAATGATTATTGGATGGATTCTAGAGAACAAGACTTGAAACCTCAAATAATTCCTTGAATAGCAGCAGTTAGAAAAAAAAGCATAAAATGAAAGAAAGGTCATTCCCATAATAAACTTCTTTTTCTAAGCCTCATATTGTATGCAACATTCCTTTGGAAACAAAGAGATGAAAAAGCTGCGATCAACCAATGTAATTATGCACAGAGAAACAGAAATAAAATGCTTTTTTTACATCTATGTTCTTACAGGCATTGTAAGCAAGTTTTCTAAATTAGATGTGTGTACTGCACATTTAATACTAGAGAGGAAAAATGACCCATTTAGGAGCTACTCTTCAAAGAACTTGCTGTGGAAGAGAAGGCTATAGATGATTCATGCTTCCAGTTGATTTACCACAGGAACAGTAACGAGGGTAGTAAACAGAAAGTTGTGATTCAGCACAGTTGTTCCTAACCAAACGACTACCTTAATTGTTTTATCCATTAATTATTTTGCTCTGGCTAACTTGAACGTCAAAGGAGAAAACACATTTGGAGAATACGCAGCTCACTGTACTGTGGGGTACTGTCTTGCCTTCTCATCAAGTGAAGAGAACAAACAGTAGCAGGTCTGATTATTAACTCAACATTCCAAGGTTCATCGGTTCATCCCTACTATTCCCGTGTTTCTGCTGCCTACCTCCAGTAAATACAGGATGCCCTTTGTTCAGAGGTGGTCTTCAGGGATCTTCAAGCAGTGGGGTAAATCTTACAGTGCTAGAAGTATTTGAAGAAACTAATTTTTGTTTTGTCTTTGCAAAATTTAAGCAAAATATACAAGTTCAGGCTGGGATGGTTTAGAGCAATTTTAAAATATGACTTTGGACCTGTGTAGTATAAATGGATAAAAATGTTGACATAATTTAATCCTTTCTGTCCCCCAGCAAGATACAAGAATAACTCCATCCCTGCCCAAACTGGATCTCCATGTTATTCCTGTGTGGCAAAAAGGGATTACAGGCAAGGGTGTTGTCATCACAGTACTAGACGATGGCTTGGAGTGGAATCACACTGACATCTATGCTAACTATGTAAGTTTGGGCATTAGAATGCTATGGAATAAATTAATCAGTTGTAAATTTGATATACAGACACTCTTCTCCAGCTTGCTGTCTGTTCTGTAAGTCAGCTTCTGCAGTACAGAGACTGAAATATTTGCCTTAGGCGTAATTTGGAACCTGGTCTGTGTCACAGGAACCTGAATGTTACTTAGCAATGATGGTGGGGTGGGTTTTTTGTTGTTTTTTTCCCTCAGTGGATTTAGTTCCCAGGCATGTTTGTATACAGTGGTTTAATGCTGAATTATTAAAGCTCTGTGAAAAATTTATGGAATTGTTAATGCCCATCAAGTTCTACCAACTTGATTGCTGTTAACATGAGGCACACCAAATAAATAAATACAGGCTCCAGAACCTCTTTTGTTACAAATTTTAAAATGAATTTTCTAGTTGTCCCAATTAATTCTGTTTTTTTTTTAAATGTAGGATCCAAAGGCAAGTTACGATTTCAATGACAACGATCATGATCCCTTTCCTAGATATGACCCAACAAATGAAAACAAGTGAGTAGCCTCCCAGTTGCGTGAAGAGAACGAGACAGGACGTTATTAATTTGTACGTTAGAACATGCAAATGCACAAATACCTATGTATGTCCCCTATGACAATTATACAATAAAAGGAAGAATTTGTATTACAGAATCACAGGATGATTGAAGGTCGCCTGGTCCGAGCCCCTGCTCAAGCAGGGAGACCTAAAGCTGGTTGCCCAGGATCCATCCAGATGGCTTTTGAATATTTCAAGGAGGGAGACTCCACAACCTCCCTGGGCACCCTGTGCCAGTGCTTGGTCACCCTCAGAGTGAAAAAGTGTTCCTTGATGTTCGGAAGGAACCTCCTGTGTTTCAGTTTGCACAAAGATTTGTACACACCATTGGCACAAACACTGGAAACTAAGGAAATTAAATTCCCAGATGAAGAGCTGCATAACTATAATCTCCCTATAATGTCCTGAATTTCTTCATATCTTTGTATATGTAAGGTACTGATATGTTTCTGTAAGCTGAAGGGAACGATCTGTTCATGTCACCGTGTGTGTTTCTAGAACAATACCTCCCTAAGCAGATTTTGACTTCAGTTCTCTGCTTTGCACTGGGAATTTTAAAAGAATATGTCTGCTATATTCTGGAAACTCTGGAAGGGCTCTGGAAGAGACTGCGTCTTAGAGGAACCTACCAAGAAACCTATCCCTTCAGGTCAGCTTTTGTAGCCAAGGATGCTGTTTTCCAGTTTTGGCAGTACCTTTTGGATCAATAGAACAGTTTCTAGCTCAGTACAAGCAATCACAGGTGAAGTCATGCTTCTGACGTCCTCTCATATGGGTATGACAAATGATCAGACACTAGAGGAGGTTACATTCACTCCTGGGACAATCTTTCTGTCTCTTCTGAGGCATATGGAAGCTTTATTTAGACCAGATCTGGCCTAAATGTCCTCAATGTAATAGCCCAGGAAGTTTCAAAAGGCTTGAACACAGGACAACCAGCCAATTCACTTAGTGGACTTGTGGAATTTCCTCTGATGCTCTCTCTAGAGCTCCTCTTTGATACTCTGTGGAACATCTGGATGGGTCTGCCACACCTAGGCATATCCAGGGTAGTTCAGGGAGGGATTTTGTCCATCAGAAAGAGAAAAGAATGGACATCTTTAAAAGCTGGTACACAGAAGAAGTCAATTTCTTAAACCAATTAGGATGCCGCTACTCAATAAACATACAGTAAAAAACTGATGCACTGGTTCCTTATTGTCTATCAGACAATATAATAACATCCACAACATAAATCAGTGTATGGGGAAAAATAACAATCAATCAAAGGATAAATGTCCCATGAATAAGACATTTGAAAAATGACATTTCTACTTTTTTACAGCATTATTTAAGAGCAAGAAGCCATTATCCTCTTGTTCCGATGACATTATCTCTTAAATCTACCTGTATTACCTCTAATCTTTATTAATAAGTGAACGGAATTCAGCCCAGAAGCATTCCAGCACTTCATTGAATAACAATCTGTAGTATTAAATAACACAACTCTTTTACAATTACACTTATGTGAAGGTTTTCTGTGTTGTGGTGTAAGAATCACCTATGGCAAAAAAGAATTGCATAGAAGATAGTTGGTTACAATAAAAATTCAGCAATGGTGAGGATACTTTAAAGGCTAACTTTCTGAAATCCTAACTAAATGCAGTCATTAAAAAAAAGAGTATCTAAATGTGTGATTAAAAAAGACTTGTATCATATTTCTGTCTGAAGAAGTTTAGTAGCTTCTTAGCCCCATAATTTTACACTACTTTTGCACTCTACTAAAATACTGGTGTCTAATAGGTCTACGGACTTCAGTGTGACTTAGATTAGGTATTTATCATCTCATCACAATGATCCTTTGATCATTAACTAAGTAAAATTATTTTGATTGAAGCCTAAGAGAAATAAGTATTTTTGTATCATGTAGACTCAACTCAAAAGCTATTCAATAGCTGCATTCCATTCATTTAAAGGAAGACTTCCACCAAATCAAGAAGGTCATTGCTGAGTCTTTGTGTACATTACAGAAAGATGTTATGAGATGTTGTTTATTCTTACTATATTTGTTCAGACATGGGACTCGGTGTGCAGGAGAAATTGCCATGCAAGCCAACAACAGAAAATGTGGAGTTGGAGTAGCCTACAATTCCAAAGTTGGAGGTAAGAAAACAAAAATAATAAGATGTCTAATATGAATGGAAACCAGACAGATCCTGTGAAGTACTGAGTATTTTCAGCTACCTTTAATCTGAAATTCAAATGATTGGTCCTTCTCAGAAAACACCGATCTTGCAGTATTAGGCTACAAAATCCTGTCTGGCCACAGTGCAGAGTGTTACATCTATATAACAGCATTTCTTGAATATCGGCATACTCTCTGGAATTTGGGTATCAGTTGGAAATAGGTAGAATATGTAATAACAGCAACAACAATATAGGTGGTGGTGGTGGTGATGATGATGATAATAATAATAGCAACAACCTATATTGTACCCAGAGATAAGACTGTATCTTTTAAGGAATGATGGACTCACTGCTTATAATTGGTTATCCTAGAAGGAAGTGGCGTGGCGGAGGAGAGCGATTGAGTAGAGTGAAAGTAAGAATGTAGAAATTTATATCCACCCATGCTTGCAGCATATTGTTTGTGTCTACACAATTACATTCAAAAGGTCATGTCAGTCAAGATACTCAAACTGCTGTGGTTTTTGTTTCAACAGCTTACTTCTCTACTATCATCATAAGTTAATTTTGAAAATAAGTAGAGTCTTGCTTGCCTGTCAATCAATGTTGCCATTTTTTTTGAAGCAGTGACTAAAAGTTTAATCCATTAGAGGTTTATGAAATAGTCATGATCAAAGTATCAGTTGCAAATGGTTATTTAGCTCAGAGGAAGATACTTGTACAGTCCTAGTTTTTCCATTACTCCCTTTTTTTCTTTTAAACAAAAGGACGATGAGTGGCAATTGACACACATAACTGCCGTTCCCACCATTTCAGTCTTATGTTTGTAGGTTCCCATTTGCTCTACGGAGCTGTCATAGATGTCAGCTTTGCAGCCTGCCTTTGCCATAATGCATTATGCTGTCATGCTCTGTTTAAATAAAATATCTCACTCATAAGACGAAGATGTCAAATTTTCAAAGCAGGGCAAAATGGATGAAGCTGCAAAGATGTCTGAACTCCCGCTGTGCCCATATTTTAAGGCACTTGCATCTACAGAGAAGATTCTTCCACAGTTATTTGCATATGTTCTGTGTTTATTTGCAAATGCAAACTACAGATCTGCACAGAGTGATTTATCTAGAAAAGGAAAATAACAGGAGGAAAAGTCCTGATCCCAGTCCAGCAATCCAAGTTACCCAGAAAGCTGCTTATACCTGGGAGGGGGGGAGGAGAAAGAATAGAAGAGTTGAAAGAAATTGTAGGCTGTTACGTATGACCAACCTGATTAAGATAGGGACGTAACAAAAATATTTCAAAGGGCAATGGAAGATAGGAGAAGCCTTCGAAAGATTCAAATAAATTTGGAGTGGCTAAACATTGGAAGGCTTTTTTGATGTTCCAAGCTATACAGGATTCATTTCTTCACAGGCTTTTTTCCTCCTTTTTTTTTTAAATCCTTGAAATGACGCATTACACACTTCTATTTGACATTAGTTCAGGATGACTTCTTTAAGTGGCTGTTTGCTTGTAGCAATTGCCATATTGGGTAAATCCAGTGGTCCACAGCCAATGCCTTCTCTCTGATAGTCAGCAATAGCTGCTTTAGGGGAAGAAACCCTGACATTTGGAATACCTTGTTCTCTGACCTTCAGCATCAGAGGTTGGTTTACTTTTGCCTTGAGGAATGTTACATTCAAATGTTCCATTCAAAATTTTTTGTTTTCCATGAAAATACTGACTTTAATAATCCTGAGTGTTCTCACTAGTCACATCAATGCCTGGCCCTATTCTGAAACCTTGATTAGTCTCTTCAGTACTTTGTGGCTGTGAATCCCATAGGCTTTTCTGTGCACTATGTGAAAAAAAAATACTTCTTAATGCCAGTTTTCAAAGTGACATCTTTCAGTGTCCTTTAACAGTCATCTTTTGTTCTGCACAGAGCTAGGAAATGTGTGTTTATCAATCACATATCGATAAGTGAATAAAGTAAAGCAGGATGAATATATATTCATGCATACCTAACCATAGCACTGTGCTACGATATTTCTCTGGTGCTGCCATGGAAATCAAATGATTAAGAAGCTCCATTTTACAAAGGACTGGGCTGAGAGTTCCTGCACAGTGACGTGTTGCTAAAAATAGCCTTCTGCCAGGCAGATACATGTATGTGTCTGAAATTACCTTGGGCTTTGCCCTTTGATTTTGTGGGACTGATGATGGGAGCAAGCATGTGCAAGAATAGGACAGAGTTTATGCAAGAGGACATAATTGGAGTCTGCTTAGGGAAATATCACTGCAGTCATCAAATCCCTGAGTTGATTTAAACAAGCAGGATTTTTGGAGATCACAAAGACAAGGCAGCATTTTTTTTCCTTGAACTGTTTTCATCAGTGTGTTGTCAGTGTTCTTGTTTTCTTATTACATTATTTATCTGGAGAGTTGGCTTTGTCTTCTTCTGTGGGAAATATCTGTACACTACTCTCTGCATTCCCAGTGTCTCATTATTTGTTGCAAGCTAGCACCCGGAGCTTGCAGTCATTTCCGCACAGGCAGATCTTTGCTCACAGCACGCTGGTATGAGAGAATCTCACAATTTTGAGCCAACGGAAAAATGAGTATTCAAAATGTTATGAGTTTAAGCCTATCCAGTGGTGGTGGTTTTAGTACCTGAGGCACAGGATATACCCTGATTCTTTTCCCAGCTTTGTGAGTGATAGTGGAGTAGCAGTGGTTGAGTGGATTAAATCCTTTGTCTATTTTTGCCACTAATTAATATGAAATAATAAAGCCCAGCTTTATCTCGGAGGTATTACGAGTCTTAGAGGCCAGCCTTTTGGGAAAAGAATTATGCTTACAATCTTTTTTTTCCTACTTGATAGTATAAAAAATGAACAAGACACTGAGCTGCAAGGGTGAGGGTTTTTTTTTTCCCCTAATAGAACGACCACATTTTGCTTCCTGTGCTTTGGAAAAATCCCCATTTTGTGGAAAATACTAGAAAATGAGTACTCATACTTCACCAACTGCCAGTAATGGTGCAGCTGCTGTAGTACTAATTTGCCAAGTTCAAGACAACCCAGACATTTTTATTGCTTGAAAACACAGGCTGAATCCTGACTGCTGTGGCTCTTATATTACTGCTGTTGCTGGGAGAGCCATGCCATAGTGGGAATTTTGCCAGACTTCTGCTATTTCTATCCTCCTCCAGCACTGGACAGTGGTAGCAATCCTACTGCAGAGCTAGAGATTTGCAGAGCGAGAGATCAAGTGCAGATGAACCGCTGTCTGCCACTGAATTTTAAGTACCACTGAGATCAGGCTTGCTCCGAAGAAGATCAGATCATGCAGTCCCTAATAAAATCTTAATGGCTAGATATCTCTGGCATCTCTGGGTTGCTCACAGTGGAAAAAACGTGGCAGTAAAAAAACAACAGTGAGAATTTTTTGTGGTGAAGATTGAAGAGCTAGTGAAATAGCAGCGTCACAAAGACAGCAAAACCTTAATGACTCTGAGGACAAAGTGTTTTAGTCAGGACATTCAGAACTATATCTTTGAACTAAAACTCTTAGAACTGCTGAAGATAAAAGTGATGTCGATAAAACCTATTTAATTTTACTAACATGCTAGCAGTTTGAAAAGTCTTTGTTACAGATTTAACAGAGGGGAAGAAAGAGTAAAGAAAGAGCTCAATGCAATAAGAAAAAGCAGGAACAGTAAGCAAATCATCATCATCTTGGCTGTCTGCAGAAAAAGAGAAAGAAGTAAATAAGAGGCAACCAAGACTTTAAGAGGGGTTTTTTAATGTTTGTAGAGAGCACTGTGCTCTGCAAATAAAGGGTAAATGTACTGTTTCACACTGACATGAACTGTTCTGAGTATTACTTACATGAACAGCAGTAGGCTGTGGTTGCAATAGTTACAGATTAATTTTGCTGGAAACTGTACAAACACTTAACAAAGACAAAGAAGAGGGAACAGAAAGTAAATCCAGTCTGCTTTTTTTTTTCTGTTAAGGTATACGTATGCTGGATGGAATAGTCACCGATGCTATTGAAGCCAGTTCAATCGGTTTCAATCCAGAACATGTGGATATTTACAGCGCAAGCTGGGGCCCTAATGATGATGGTAAAACTGTGGAGGGACCCGGGAGGCTGGCACAGAAGGCTTTTGAGTATGGGATAAAACAGGTACGATATTTAAGAGAAAGATACAATAAAATGTGGCAGAGAACAGAATTTTAAAATGGTTGATATCAGGGAAGAAATGAAATGGTTTGTGCTCTCTTTCCTCAAACGTATTTGAAAAGGAGGAGACAGATTTTAATAGTACAGGTCAGAGAAATTGCCAGCCAGAACAGGACTTTTCAAAAAGCACCGTTAGAGCTTTCTAAGCTGGTTTTAAGTTGCCATGCTCCACAGATAAGCTTTCTTATTCCATCCTTACTTTTGCTGCCTTTGTCTCACCCTACCCCCACCCTTCTCTGCTGCTTGTTTTGCACTGAACAGTAATTGGATTTCTGCACTGAAAGCCTATAAAATTTAATACAAAATTTCTGCTTTGTGAATATTTTGCTGTGTGAAATAGCGATGCATTTTAGCACCCTGTGGATGGGCTTGTATTATGTTAATTGTATTAGTTTATAATTTGGTGCGTATCATGATCCAATTAAAATGAAGATAGTAAAAATGCATGATGAAGAATATTGGAAACAATATTTTTACAGTTCTTTTTTATGTTATCCTCTTTAGATCTGGTTGGATCATAAGTAGGGTGCAAACTGAGAGCCACCAGGGATATATTGACAAACTACTGTTGCTCTTGCCAGTGAGGTGAAAAGACACCTAAAGGTGGACAGGTACTAATATAGTGAGGAAAACTGCATCAGAGACAGGAGAGGAGAGAAATGGAGGAAAGCTTGAAAGACAGAAGCAAAGAGAAAGAGGATTTTAGAAATGGGGCAGTTAACATTAGCAGACAGAAGGGGAGAAGAAGAAAGAAGAGTCTGATAGCTGACAAACATACTCTCAGGGAAGAATGGAGACCGAGAGGACTGGGCTGGTGATAAACAAAGATCTAAGTCCATAGGTAGGCAGCAAGAGAAGAGGGAGAATTAAAGGCGATAATTAGGGAACCAATGTTCAGTGGTCTTACTCTGAAAAAGCAGGTTATTTGGTGAAGAATGTATCTTTTTTACAACTTGTTTTATTTCTTAAGGGGAGCAAATTTACCCATTAATTTGTGAGGCTTCCTTTTGCAAGGATCTGTATGATCTCCATTCTCTTAAAGTCAGCCAGAACTGGGGTTGCCAACGACTTTCATCCCTGACGACCTCATTGCTGGCCTGATACAGCACTTAAGCGTATGCTTAGCCTTAAGCATCTGAGAGGTGTTAGTAGCACTCTAAGTGAAATCAGAGCAGGTGTTTACATATACCAGTGCTGTTCTGGACTGCAGCCTTTATTCTCAAAGGAAAATACTATCTAATTTTCTGTAATTGATGTGGCTTGTCCTTCCCAATTTACCAGTTGTATCACAAAGAGTACAGCTTACTTTTCTTTATTTTTAATGTTTTAAATGCTGCAAATGTCTTAGCACTTGCATGAGTAACATCAAGTCTCATCTGAGTGGGATGATAAAAATCTGTATTTCAACTGCTATTTCCAGTGAATGTACATATATTAATAATGAACAACATAAGAACTTTTTCTCTTCCCACGAAACAGATTTTTTTCCTCTGAAGGACTAGCACAGCTTAAGACTAGATAGGGTGATACGTGTTTCCTCTGTGGTAGCTGTGATTTACATGCTGTCAGCTGTCAGCATCAGTTGTTAGCTGCTGCTCCCTCATTGCACACTGGAGACCAGAGCAGGCATGTCTGGAGACTGTGGTGCTGGCCCACAGACTTGTGAGAGAAAGGGAGGGTTTTCAGTCAGATATGCTTGCTGGTTCACTATGTTTCAGCGAGTGAATGCTAACTGTGAAAGGCTTCCTTACGAAAAATAAGTTGGTGGAAAAGTCATATCATGTACATAATTCATACTGCTTACCCGTACCTCTGTGACTGCAGGAAAGGCAAGTGAAATAAACCCTGATAAACTTGCCGTTTCTTAAAAAAAAAATGGGCATTTTTCCTAGACATGTTCAGGACCAAAACATCAGCATGTGGGAAAATTTACCTGTTGAGCTCAGACTCTGTTTTTAACTTGAAAACCTATTCTGAGGAAAGTTGCTGTACCTGGAACACTAAACCTAGACCAGTCAAACTAAGAGATGTACTGTAGAGTGTGCAGTAGGATACCTCAAGTAGCTGGTTTCTTCTCTCTCTGTCTTCTACAGTGCTTATGGAAAATTGTCCTTTTCTACCTGAAAATGTTTGATATATTAGGCTTTTTGAGCAGGAGGAGTTGTTAAGAATACGTTACAGAGACTGAAATCTCTTTGCTAACCACTCATTTCCATTTTCTCTAGGGCCGAAATGGGAAAGGCTCCATTTTCGTATGGGCTTCTGGGAACGGAGGCCGTCAGGGTGACAACTGTGATTGTGATGGTTACACTGATAGTATCTACACTATCTCCATTAGCAGTGCTTCTCAGCAAGGCCTTTCTCCCTGGTATGCAGAGAAGTGCTCTTCAACTCTGGCCACAGCATACAGCAGTGGGGATTATACTGACCAAAGAATTGTAGGTTGCTTTTACCAGATTCAGAACAAACATAGAGATGTATTATATATGCAAATAACAAGTGAGAGCTCTTAAGTGCTTGGTTTACAAGTGCCTGCTTTATGTTATGTGTTACATGCTTAGTGCTTTTGCCTTGCAACACTGAGGGATTTGTAATCCAAAAAGCGATCGTATTGCTGGAACATCTACTGTAAAGCAATGGCTAAACAAAATCATTGTGTCAATGCAGTTAAATCAGCATGCTGAATTTGCTGTTGGTGTATGACAGAGGTCTCTGCATGAAGTTTGATATGGTCCCATTCTTCAGAAAGGGCAGATGAAGAGAGATTTAGAGTAAAAGGAAAAAGAACCTGTGCAGTTAGTGTACCATATGAGTCAGTACCTCTGATATACTTTGCAATTAGCTTTTGTAAGATTATCAGCCCCCAAGTTCCCACTTATGACAGCAACAATAGTGCCTCCAAACCTGTAAAAGGTACTCAGCAAGCAGGCAGAGCAGTCTGTGTGCCTTCATTAACTGTGCAAGAAATAACTTGTACTGAAGAAAATTGCTGTGATAAAATAATGTTGAAGTACCTATAATTTCTGTTCAGCCCTGGTGGATGCTGATTTTACGATAAACTACATTGATGGGGATTAAAACAATGTCATTCCAGATTAGCCAGGAGATCAGTCCTTCCTAAGTGGCTTCTCTTCATAGCCAAGATGTAGATACATAGGCAGATGTGTTTGGTATTTAATTTCCAAATAAAGCACGTGTTTCATTGCAAATTATAGTTCTTCTGCTGAAGAGGGAGCAGAACACCAATACTAATCCTATGAGTAATTTTCTAGCAAGCAGTAATTTTAAATGTTCTAGGCCCAACACAATGATCTGTTTTTATGATTCACCAGTAAGCCTGAAATACTTATTGTGAAACCTTAGAATAAAATAAGATATTCAGTGTGGGAGTATTTTGTTCCAACACAAAGCGTTTTGATACAAAAATTATAGTTGAAGTAAAAAGAGTGGATTGAAACATGGATGGATTTAAACATGCATCGCTTTTTCTGCTGGTGAGGAATGTATTAGTGTGCACCAAGTAAAGGATACATGGTTATGTTTGTGAGTGTGGATATGACTGTATTTACAACTGTTTATTCATGCAACCAGGTTTTTTTGTTTTTTTCTGTCAGACAAGTGCTGATCTTCACAATGAATGTACAGAGACTCACACTGGGACCTCTGCATCTGCACCACTGGCAGCCGGAATTTTTGCTCTAGCGCTGGAAGCAAAGTAAGATGTCACACAATTACCTTTGAAACTCCTCTCTCTCAGCCACCCCACCATCTTCCCTGAAACGTTGTCTATTTGAAAGTGGCACCATCTAATGCTGCAGCTCCACTTTTTGTCAGTCAGACTTGCTCAGCCTGATGACAAAAATAAGCAGCTACTTGCTTGAACACCTACTTAGCAAAGCAGAACCAATGTAAGTAAAACGTGATGACTGAGGAATTTTAGTCCATTTTGTGCATTGGCAACAATTGTTTACTGAGTTCTGGTCAATTGCACGTGTATCAGGAGAACATAATTTGAAGACAATAGGTTGCAGGAGTTTAAATTAAGTCTTTAGTCAATTTACAGAACCTTTTCTGTCAGTGATGAGACATAAAATGGAAGGTACTCAAGCTTGACTGTCAGAGCAGGCAGGGAGCAGGCAGGTTCAGATCCTGTAGGCCTGGTAGTCAGAATGTATGACTTAGGGTAAAAAAGAACAGGACAGGACAGGACAATGGCTTTTTCACACAAAACACTTCAGGCATTAGGGCGTAGGCTTAGTACTTGAATGGTGTAGGTTCAGCTCCATGTTCTATTGCATACTTCTTTGATGACATAAGCCAACGTCCTTAGGGCCATATTTTAAAGGGTAGAGTTAATCACAGATAGAATCAAATACCCAGTGAATTTTCAAAGTCCAGGTCCCATAAAGACTGGTGGGAAATACTAGTTTTGCTCGTTAACTTTAAATGCCTGAATAATTTTGAAGAATTGGACTCTGATCTTGCTAGATACCTGTTCTTCATTTACACAGAAATCTTGTCTACCTGGAGAAGTATAGTGACGATAAGCATGCGACATGCTCTGTATTTTAAAACAATGGGATGCCATACACATTCAGCGCATGTTCTCTTGCAGGCTAATAATTGAGAGAAAAATGATAGATAGCCCTGAAACAATTAACCAGGAACATTTTCTCAACAGCCCAAATCTGTCATGGAGGGACATGCAGCACTTGGTAGTGTGGACCTCAGAATACGATCCACTGGCTGGAAATCCAGGATGGAAAAAGAATGGAGCGGGACTGATGGTCAACAGCCGATTTGGGTTTGGACTACTCAATGCCAACGCATTGGTAGATTTAGCTGATCCCAAAAGATGGAAAGGTGTACCAGAAAAGAGAGAGTGCATTGTCAAAGACAAAAGCTTTGAACCAAGGTAAGAATTTGCATTAGCAGTAACTAAGCTTATGTCTAGCTTAGTAAAGCCTGAAGGATAGTATTCTGCACAGATTGCTCTGAACCAGACTCAGAAACTTCTTTTGATTCATTTGGTTTTGCCTTACTGTATTCCTCAGGGGCAGGCAAGCAGCAGTAATTTGCTTGCCTTCTTTAGTGTGAGACTGATGGAAATTACTAGCATGAAGTCTTAACAAAGAATAAGATTATTATGTCTGCTTGTGCAGCCAGCATATGGATGGATGATACTGTGAGACTGAACTGATCAGATAAGATACAAATGTTTAGACCGCTATCAAAAGATGAACAAAAAGATACCAAAGTCTCCCAGGGTTTTTTTTTAAAAAACATCTGTAATTAGTCTTAGCAATTCTTCTCCTGTGACAGGCATAGTATATGTTAAAATGAAGGTGATATACTGAGCTTTAGTCACATCCATAGCACGTCTCTTATGAAACACAAGTGTTTCAAAAGCTCACTGAAAAGACTTAGCAGCCACATTCCCAAATGTTCCCAGTATAGTGAGCTTAAACTGAGCACAACATACAGGCAAGTTGTAATTAGTCGGTAAACTGGTTAATCAATAAGGATATCTAGACCGTTTTTGTCTCCACTTGCTCCTTTATGGATTTGTTGTCTAGAAAAAATACAGCTATTTCAAAGATCGAAATTATACTGTGTGAGTGCACCAAAAATCTGTCTGTAGAAACATATTACAGTGTTTTGGAGTGTCACTGCTTGGTAACCTTATTATTTATGCTATTTTACTATCAATTTGCTTTTATAAGCTCTCTCCTTTCCACAGAGTGCTGATCAAGTACTGATGGGTGTAATACTGTCTGTTTATGTATTTTTATTGCAGTCCTCTATGTTACATTATAAAAACAAAGATCCCAAGATTCTGAGTTTAGAATTATTTATGTGGAGATTTAAATAAATAATGGAAATTGTGCAGAGAAAGCTATGCAGAGTAGCTCTCTGTACAGAGAATGTACAGAAGATGTAAGCTTTTTTTCCTTGAAATGGCATTGACTACAATGCTATTGACTACAGCTGTGCCTGCTGCATTACTTTAACTCCGTGATAACAGCCTTCTGGGTATTTGGATGAGGAAACTAAGTGTAAGTCTGATACAGTCCTGTGATGTAGCTGACAGCAAAGACTGTGTTTTTTGTAGTCTCTATGGGACAACGAAGTGTTGACAGAAACCCTTGATTATCAAAGTTGCTTGCTTGCTTCCAATCTTACTCAAGTTTGTCTTATGCAGTGCCTATCACTTGATCCACTTCAGTATTATCTGTGCTTCCAGAACTTTCCATGGTTTTTACTGGAGCATTCAAAAAAATGATGAATGTAGAATTTGTCTCTACTTCTTCCTTTCTCATCATTCTGAAATAGGTGTTAAATGTGTCATTTGCACTTCTCATAATGATCCAGAATCAGAAGTTTCTGTGACTAATCAAAGAACTCCTGTAATTTTGCCAGATTATTAAGAGCAAATGAGGAAGTAATCATTGAAATTCCCACAAAAGCCTGCGAGGGTCAAGATGACTCCGTTGCATCTCTGGAGCATGTGCAGCTTGAGGCAACAATTGAGTATTCCCGTAGAGGTGATCTTCATGTCACTCTGGTATCTCCATCAGGTACAGGAGGCAGACACGCTTTGTTTGTGTTGCTCTAGTGTGTGACATTTGTTTCATTAAAAACCACCTCTGTGTTCTTCAGTGGTTTAAAAAAAGCTAAATATATTGTTAGATAAATCTAGTCACCTCCACCAGGTGAGTGTGAGGACGAAGCATCCTAGGGACTAGAGAACTGGTTCTCTGAAACCCCTTTCCAGCCTTCACGTGTTCTGGGTTATTTTTGTGAGGTTTGAAAATCATACTTCAGACAATGAAGGCACCGTTTCTAATATGTTTTCATTCTGGCAACAGGACCTATAAAAACGGAGAGTTCCTGGCAGACAACAAATTATAGTTCAATAGTGTTTATCAGCCTTACTGTGATTTAACAAACTAATGGAAAACAGGGTATCCGACTCCCTAGATTTCATGTAACTGTGTCTCCCCTTTGGTGTATTTAAAAACACAGTGTCTCTGTTGGGCACCTTAGTACAACTATACTAAATGTGCTAGAATATGGCAAGCTATCTTGGCAATGCCCTGAAATAACATCATAAGGAGAAAAAAGAGGAGAATGAGTGTAAACAACTTTGCAGAGAGTGAGATCTGTTAGATCAACTGATACTATTAGAAAAAACAGACAACCTTTCAGGTATGAATTGAAACATCAGGCTAATCTAATTTACTGATATTAAAGGCTAGTCTAGTAATTCACAGATAATGAACCAGTAGAGCCTTGTTCATATCGTTATTGCAGGACCTCACTAGAAAGCAGGCTTAAGATACTGTACATACAGTATATTTCCAAACTCTGCCTTGTCTGGGATTCCTTTTAAGCCTAACCTTAATTCTTCCTTTTCTGAGTTTACCTTTTGTCTTATGGGAGCAATGGTGCTGTGAGGTGTTTTACCCTTGACTCTTGGTGGTATTTTCAAATTTAATTCCGTCTTAGATAAATTTTAGTTTGGGAGTAAATATATGGACTGTCTCTAGGTACATCATGGAGATGACAGCAACAGTAGCTCTCATTCTACTTTTATAGAGGTATTTCCCTCCCAAGACACTGTTCTACTGCTAATATGTAGGAAGCATGGCTTCATCTTAGAAAAACACCCCTTTTTGAAAGACTGATGACAGTAGTATGTTCTTCATCTCTGTATGTATTTCTGTGGGTTTAGCTGAGATAGGAGTAGTCAAGTGCTGCTGCCTCCACTATTGTATCATGTTGCTATCATGGTTAAACTGTTCTTTCCCTTAGTTCTTGCTGGTTTTCCACTTCCCTGAAAAACTACCACTACCAAATGTATGTCATTCCTTTTCTATATGTATGGTGTTACCTTTAAATATATTTATAGCTTGTGATCAGGCTCCCTGGGGCTTCTCTGCTCCTTATGTGTAAATATAGCCCCCTTGCTCTCTCCTTATATGCAAACAAGCACAACAAATTTCCTGCTGTGCAGCAGAATCTCTTCTGCTGCAAAAATACTTAGTGAACTGCAGCATTTTTGTAATAATAATAACAATGCAAATGCTTTTCACCCTGTTGGAGTTCCAGGCTGTAACAATTTACATCCACTCAAAAAAAAAAACCCAACAGCGATGAATTCACCACTGCGTGAGCTGGTTTGCCTTCAAAACTTCCATCTCAGAAGTTTCCTGAACTGTTCATGAGTGGAAAATACTGGTTCTGTCTGACGTCTGTTTCTTATGCTTTACGTGCATCCACTAGTTTTTTGTGTTAGAGATTGAACACTAAGCAAGATGCATCTTTTTAGCGTGACCTAATGTCATAGTTTTTATGCTCTTAAAAACTGCTGTGAAAATAATTAAAGGAACACTGGTCAGAAATAGCATGTTTCCTGTTCCACAAGCCACTGTTAAATAGTGTATTTTTGCAGGTTACCTATGCACTAGATAGTGTGCAAGCTGAACAATGTGAAAAGTAAAAGCGGACATTGTATGAGCAGTCACTACTGTTGATCTTGCACTAACACAGGGACCAGCACTGTCTTACTGGCTGAGAGAGAGAGAGATAAATCTCCCAATGGCTTTAAGAACTGGGACTTCATGTCTGTTCACACATGGGGAGAGAATCCAACAGGCACCTGGGTTTTAAGAATTACTGATGTGGTAAGTCTGTCTGTATGTTAACTAAAATGGTCACTAACCACTACCAAGCATGTTGAATAGTGAGTCTTCTCATTAAACAAGCTACAACAAGAGTTCATTTACACTAAATACCCATCTGGATTAAAGATTAAAGAAAAAAGATAGGGTCAGATTTTCTTGTTCTTTACATAAATGCAAAGAACCATCCTCATTTCACTGACATGTACTTGTCAAAAAAATTTCATGCCTATGTTTTTCACACATTATATGTCACTAAAAGAAATCACTTAATGTAATTTTCTGTGATTCATGGAGTGAAATATGTAATCGAATTAACATATGATTAACTGCAAATTAGGTTTTTCTGCAGAAAAGAACGCAGGATAGATCTAGTCTTCTCTTAGTGCATGTGCATAATTTTCATTAACTCAAAACCTTTTGAATTAATGAATTTCTGGTGACCTCAGAGAGCTATTCTGATGTATACCTTTCCCTAACTTCTTTCTTAGAGTAATTACTGCTGAACGTTTAAGGATTAAAGCCAAGAAATCTACAGATATGAAATAAATAAGTTTACTAAAACCACCTGGGGATATGGATTACAACAGCGAGACACCAGAATAAAGCTGCTTGATAGGCAACTGAAAAATCATTCTCTTCAAAGAGAGAGTGATCAAGCGCACTTGTCTTTGGAGAATTTCATTGAATTTGTCTGTTAATAAGCTTGTCATTAGGGGTCAGATCCTGCCAGAACCTGAATGCTTCATATCAGACACTGAGCCTCCAACCCCTATTGGCCTCAAGTTGTAAACAGGAGGATAATGCCAAGTACTAAGCAGATAAACAAGGCAGTAGAAGTAAATATTATTATCAACAGTTTAGTCTTAATACTGCAGGCTTATAGATAACACCATGGTTACAGATATCCTGCTCTTTGTAATTAATATAATGCATTTTTTGGAACGAAGTTAAGAAGAGCATTTTGTTTGTAATTATCTCTCATTTTCCATTTTCATGTAAGAGGTTCCTGAAACTTACAATAAACCAAGCTTTTTGTCCTCAAGAGGTATAATGCACTAAAAAGTTTTGTGATTCCTGAAGTAAGTCTTCACATTAATGACCCTAACTGAAATCACAGATTTCCAGGCAGAGTTACTCAAAATTTAGTTGTCATGTAAGTTGTGTACGTAAAACAGAATATTATTGCAAATTACTATTCCAGTGCTAACTTTTGTGGGGAAATTGCCGAGGAATGGCTTAGTGAACAAATACTAATAACACAAAATACTACTTCAGAGGTAATTTTTAGCATTCTGTGTTATGACAGAATTCCATTGATGCTTACATGATTAATTAATAATTATGTTGCATCAAAATGTGAGATTTGGAAGTAGTTAAGCCATTGTATTAAATCCCTCTTTCTGATATATCCTGTCTCTAATATATCAGGCTTTTAGTGTTTATAAATCATTGCCTAAATATAGATACTGAAAGCCTTATAATTTATTTCAGTCACTTCTGTCTACTTTACAATCAAGTGTCCTATTTCCTCTTCTTATGGCCTGAGAACCTATGCTAATGCCATGCTTGTCCTTTAGTCCAGAAGAATACAAAATGAAGGAAGGATTGTAAACTGGAGATTGATTTTGCACGGCACTGCTGCCCAGCCTGAACATATGAAGCAGCCACGTGTGTACACGTCCTACAATGCTGTGCAAAATGACAGAAGAGGAGTGGAGAAGATGACGGACTTTGTAGAGGTAGTGTTATGTTAATTTTTTTCCTTATGTATTTTTCAATTTATAAGAAAATGATACTTTTTCCTAGTAAGAAGACTAGAAAATCATTCTGTATTCATTTCACCTAGCTCCTGACCACTTCTCAGTTGTGTATTGTAATTTCGTCCATGTCAAAACTGATATTTTTATTAGCCTCTGTTTTCCTATGCCAACATCTAAGGGTTTTAGGATGGTAAGAGGATATTGCTGCTAAAGCAGTGAACTCAATAGCTAATTCAGTTGAGTGGTACAAGGAGGGAGGAAAACACTTCCGACAGACACACTAAATTTATGTAATTCTAGTGAGAGCAAGTGTCGCATCCAGACTGAGCTTTGCCTGCTGGAATGGTTCCAGGGAGTTTGGAAGGAAGTTAGTAACAAAAGACATGACAAAAGTCAGGGACTCACTGATTCAGAAGTTTTGGTTAAGTGAATCTATTGGTGCTAGGTCCTTTGTCACCTCTTCTTTACCTTTCAGGTAGAGTGCTTTAAACATACTCCAGGCTTCTGAGAGTGACAGTGGGTTTCTGGATGCACGGGATGTTAGTATTGTACATTTTCACAATACTTAGAATCATAGAATCATAGAA